TATATATATATATATATATATATATATATATATATATATATATATATACTCTTGAAGAAAGAAAAAATGTTACAAACCGAAATGAGCTTCAAGGAATGGTGTACTTCAAAAAAAAACACGAAAGGTACCTTGTTTCTGGAAAAGCCGCAAAGGATTCCTCCGAAATATTTTTTTTAGGAAAATTAGTTGATGAAGCCTAAATTTTCAAACGATTTTGACGCTTTCAAATCCCGTTTTGAAACATGCAGAAAAATGTTGAACAATAAAACGCTTATTTTCAAAAATTTTTTGGGAACTAAAAATGTTGAACAATAAAACGCTTATTTTCCCGATTTTTCTGGGAACTTTTGTCAAAATCCTTGACAAAAATGTCAGCAAAAATATAGAAATTCAGACAGAGACTAAACAAAAATTTTGACATACACAGGTTTTTGTAAATATTTTTGGACTGCTGTCAAAATTCGTGTCAAAAACGTCGATAAAAAAGGCAGGAACTAAATCAAAATGTGACACACTCATGTTTTTGGCTGAAAAAGGTTCAAGAATTCAAGTTATCAAGGTTCAACTGTATATCAATTGATTTTCTCCCAGATATTTTTTTCACTTCTGTAAAAAATCCTCATCAACAATGTCAGTGAAAAAGGAAGAGATTCAGACATGGACTAAAAACAAATTTGACACAGGGAAGTTTTTGTACATACAGTATTTTTCGACACACTTCTGTTTCCAACTTCAGAAAGGTTCATTTTATTGAAATTTAATTTTATTTCCATGGATTTTTTGCAGATGCTACACTTTCTACACTTTTGTTGAAAACTTTCAACAAGATTAGCCATGGAAAAGAAATCCTGCAAAATGATATTGAAGAGAATATGAATACAGAGGTTTGTTTATAAAATTGGGAGAGTTTTTGAAGAAAGAAAATCCAAAGGAATTTCAATAAATAATCAACAAGATTAGCCATGGAAAAGAAATCCTGCAAAATGATATTGAAGAGAATATGAATACAGAGGTTTGTTTATAAAATTGGGAGAGTTTTTGAAGAAAGAAAATCCAAAGGAATTTCAATAAATAAAATTTTCTTCGGTCTCGCATATCATTTGGCAACGCTTCAGTGCTGTTCAACATAATCTCCGCCATTTCCAGTGCACTTTTTCATGCAATACATTCAACATTCAAAACAGTGCCAAAATTGAGATATGCAAGCAAACATTTTTTTAACCATTTGTCGAAACTCTGTCCATATATATATATATATGTATATACAGTAAATATTTTTTTTCTTCGTTTCGCTCACCTGTGGAGTCCATCTCATCGTAGCCGGTGTTGGCACCCAGGAAGTCCTCGGGTGTGTGTGGCAGCGAGTAGGAGTTGTTGGTGCTGAGGCCGAGGCCCGAGTCGGCGCTTTCTTCCCGCGAATGGACGTTGGTGGTGCCGGTGGCGGCCACGATCCCGATCCCCACGGCGCCGGTGTTGCCCAGGAAGGCGTCCGTGCCCAGGACGGCGGACGAGCTCACGACGCCCGGCGGCGACGACGAGCTCGGCTGGTCCGGCGTGGCGTCCATCCGCCGCGCCGCAAGCTCCTGATTTCCAGAATATTTAAAATAAAAAATAATTTAAAAACGAGAAGAAAAAAAAGTACCGCGTTCAAAAAAGAAACGAATTTCCTTTTAATAATTCACACACATGTTTTTTTTTTTTAAAGACGAGGAATTTTTGCAGAATTTTGACAAGCAGAGAAACAAAACGCCAGAAAAAATGCTACGCACGCTGAAAAAAAAAAATATTCAAAATCGCAATTTTTCTTTTGCAAAACAGCCCAAAGCTTCAAAAAATGTCCAGCTTAACCAAGATAAATTCAAAGAAAAAAATCGGCAAAAATGTGCGAACACATACAACGCAACGCAAATAGCTGAGCTCAAGGGACTGCTGAAATCTGAAAATTTTCAGTACACGGTGAAAGAAAAAAAAATTATACTCTCAATCAAAGATCACATGAAAATCAGTGAGAAAAAAATTGAAGAACCTTTAAAAGTCTCGAATCTTTCATGAAAACGATCATCATTATGCTTACTTGATTTTCCCACGCGTTGGTCTGAAATTTATCCAGATTTTTATATTTTTTCTGAATTTTTCCAAGAATTATTCAATTGAAAAATTGCGCGTTCGAGTTTTGGTTCGGGTATTTCCAAACCTTAAACGTCAATTTACGTACTGAGAGGAAACTCATTTGAAAGACTTCCGAGTTTTTTATTTTTATTTTCGCTTGAAATCAGCAGAATTCGTAGCAATTTTTGTTGTTGTTGTTGTTGTTAATTTACTTCATTGGACATAATTTAATTCTACTCTTGCTTACACTTTTCTAGAAATGACAGCTATTACGACGTGAGATACAATTTTGAATTCGTTATTTTTCTTTACTACCTTATAAAATTAAATCGAAATGTTCTCTCAGAGTTTGAGAACCCATCTGAAAATCAGCTGGGAAACATAACAGATTTGGAAAACAAATATAAACAGCACCAGATGGAAATGCAAAATAAAGCACGGAATTTAAGCCCACCTGAGAGGATGACACAGATCCATCGACACGCAATCTTGATTGCTGCTGCTCCATCTGCGAAAAAAAAAAATTAATAATATAGAATCATAGAAAAACACAAAAAATGAAACTGTACTGATTTCCCTAACACAAATGCTCCCTTATTAAATTTTTTTGGGTTTCTTTGAGTTTGAATTGAAAGAAATTTGTCTAAATAGGTGGACATTCCTCTACAACGAAATTTTTTTACAACAACATTCTCTCTAGAACGATTGTTTTTCTGTTGTAGAGAGAATCCTCCTCGCTGTATAATATTGTACAAACACTAGAAAGTCTTAACATTTTTAAATTCTTTTTTTCCTGAAATGACAATAAAACCAAAAATTCAAGAACACATGTTTCTTGCCAATTTTTTTCATCAATTTGATACATTTTTTTCTTGAAATATAATATTCAAACCTGGAGGCGGATTTCTAAAAAAAATTTGCCTATTTTTAATCCCTTTTCTCTACGCTTGAAATGACAATAAACCCAACTATAGCGGAACACATCATATTGCTTGCAAATTTTTTTTCCATTGCAATTTGCTAAATTTTGGTCTTTTTTCTTTAAATATAATAAATATTAAATCCTGGCGACGGATTTCTAAAAAATCCGCAAACTTTGAATTCCCTTTTTACGCTTGAAATGAAAATAAACACAACTGTACCGGAACAATAAAATTTTCTTGCATCGCTATTTGCTAAATTTTGCCTATTTTTTCTTTAAATGTAATACTGTACTGTATTCAAACCTGGCGACGGATTTCTAAAAAATCCGCCTACTTTGAATCCCTTCCTAACGATTGAAATGACAATAAACCCGAATATACCGGAACACATGTTCCTCGCCAATTTTTGCTTCATCAACTTGGTAAAAAAAAAAAATTGTCCGGAAATATGATATTCAAACCAGACGAAGGAAAAAAATCGCCTATTTTGAACCCTTTTTTTCTACGCTTGAAATGACAATAATAAACCAAACTATTCTATACCGAAACACATGTTCCTTGCCAATTTTTTTTTTCATTGCAATTTGCCAAATTTCAATTTTTTTCTTCTCTTGAAAAGAATACTGTATATCTGTATAAGATTCAAACCTGGCGACGGATTTCTTCAGTGCGCTGACGCATGAAATCCCGTTCTCGCTGCAGTTGCTGTAGCCTCAGTTTCTGCTG